AGTGTGCCATGAGCTGGGAAAAACAAACCCAAACCAAGAGAGTCCTTCATATATCTAACAATCTTAAAGGCAGTATTGAGATGTGATTGCTTGGGCTTATGCATAAATTGACTGAGTAAGTTCATTGCAAAACTTAAATCAAGTCTAGTTAGGCACAAATATAACAATTTACCAATCAATTTTTGATATACCGATGGATCACTCAAGACAGGATCAGGTTGTCCAGGAAAAGCTTGATCATATTCCACATTAGTAAGCTTCAATTGAGGATCAAGTGGAACCAAAGTAGGCTTGGCAGAAGCTAGGCTAGAATCAGCTATCAATTCCAAAGCATATTTCCTTTGACATAAATTTATACCTTTGGAAGATCTAGCAACCTCAAATCCCAAAAAATATCTAAGAGATCCTAAGTCCTTGAGCTTGAAATGAGCATGCAAAGAGATCCTTATTATCTTGAATCATGGAACTATCATTACCTGTAATCACCAAGTCATCAACATACACAAGAAGTATAACAATATGACCATTATGCTTCTTAAAGAAAAAAGAATCATCTGAAAGGGACTACTGAAAACATCCTGTCAACAAGGCAGTGGTGAGTTTAATGTTCCATGCCCGAGAGGCCTGTTTCAGGCCATATAGTGACTTGTGTAGTTTACAAACTAAAGGTTGATCATGTTGATTAGAAAAACCTTGTGACATGTGCGTATATATCTCTTCTTGAAGATCCCTTTGTACAAAAGCATTGTCAACATCTAAATGAAAAAGAGGCCAAGATTTCAAAGATGCAACGACCAATACCAATCTTACTGTCACCATCTTGACTACAGGAGAAAATGTCTCCTCATAATCAATGCTGCTTGCTATGTAAATCCTTTGGCTACTAATCTAGTCTTATATCTCTCTAAAGTTCCATCTGCTTTATATTTGAGTTTATATACCCATTTACATCCTATTGGAACCTTACCAGGAAGCAGGGGAACCAAAGACCATGTCTCATTTCTTTCCAAGGCTTGAATCTCTTGTTGCATAGCTGCAATCCAATTTGGATCCTTAGATGCTTGGGTGAAAGAAGCGGGTTCAGTAAGGGTAGATATGCTGGACAGACATATAGTATATACCTTTTCTTAGTAGAAGAATAACCAAGGAAAACACAAGGAATAGACCTAGGAGCAAATTTATCTTGAAGGGTCAGATTTGTAGCATATGCTAAGCACCCCAAAACCTTCAAATGATCTAACTTAGGTTGATGACCATAGAACTTTTCAAAAGGTGAAAGACTATGTAAAACCTTGTTAGGCAATCTATTGATAATATAGACTGCTGCCTTCATTGCATCTCCCCACAAATAATCTAGAATTTGAGATTAAAACTTAAAGGCTCTAGCAATGTTAAGGATGTGTCTATGCTTAACGTTCTACTACTCCATTTTGCTGTGGAGTGTAGACACAAGTACTTTGATGTACAGTACCTATGTTGGATAACAACTCATGATAGTGTTGATTAAAAAATTCTAAGCCATTTTCTGTTCTAATACACTTAGGGGTTCTATTGTACTGGTTTCGTACCATAAGCAAAAAACTTTTCAAGGTTTGATACACATCAGATTTAAATTGCATAAGAAACAACCATGTGGTCCTCGTAAAATCATCTACAACAGTAAGAAAAAAATTGGCATTACCCTACGTTGGTACCTTGTAAGAGCCCCAAACATCTAAATGCAATAGTTCAAATAAATTTGATGTGGTTGTTTCACTTAGGGTAAATGGTAATCTAGTTTGTTTGGCTAGGGGATAGACTTCACAATGAAACCTATTCTAACCAGAAAGTCCATGATTCAAGGTTTGTAAAACTGGTAATGGTACAGGTCCCAACCTTCTATGCCAGAGTACAATATCCTTAGTATGAAAATATTGTTTTATTGATGAATCAATGGTAGTATCAATAAAATTAGTAGAATTGCAAACTGTCTCCTTATTACAATCAGACTCACATATGCCTAATGTTTTCCTTAAAGCTGGAACAATATCAGGTAAACATGTCTTTATTTTTAAAATAGGTATGAAATGATACAAGCCTTGGCATAGCTTACTTATCCCCCTCAGTTTGCCACTCCGGAGATCCTAGACAACACAAAAGTCTAGATAAAAGGTGATGGAACAATGACTGGAAGAAGTCAGTTTAGACACTAACAATAGGTTGTATTTGAAATCAGGTAAATATAGAACTTTTTCAAGCAACAAGTCCTCTTGCAATTTGACAGAACCAACATTCCTAATTGAAGTTTTAGTATTATTAGGGAGACCTACAAAACTATTAATGGATGGTTGGCTAGCTATGGCAGATTCAAAATTTCAGAATTCATGGGTCATATGATCTGTGGCCCTTGAATCTAGTATCCAATTATTTGCACTATCAAGACTGGAACATAAGGAGATGGTTTTACTTGCCATATTAGCTGATGGTGTTGTTAAATTCTCCTTTCCCAACAACTGCAACAGTTGAGCATACTGTTCTAGAGTCAGTACATTTCCCAAGTTAGCCTTCATTCTAGATTTGCCCTTGGTAAATTGAAAGTCTGCTGGGTAGCCATGAAGTTTATAGCAGGTATCTCTTTTGTTTCTATGTATATGGCAATAATCACATTCCATGTAAGGTTTCTTTCCCTTATAAATGATTTTTGGCCTGAATTTCGTTGATTGCCTTGTGAATACAATGCCATAGTAACTTCAGTAGTCTAATTATATCCTGTCAACACCTTTTAACTCTCATCCAGGCTTACTATAGAGGCTTACTCTACATTGGATGAGCAAATTCTGGGTACTACAGCTAATGAGGACGAATCTACAAAAGAAATCAGAAGTGAATTTGGGGCTAAAATTGCCGCTAGGAAGATTTTTCTCAATGTAGCTCGACCCGGATCAAGTTACTCTTTTTATCTACAGTCAAAATTTTGCTCTACTCACTTNTTGAGAATTATGTTTAATTACAACTCACAAGTCAAACGACCATGTATTGAGATTTCAGACTAAGTGACCAAAATAAACACATTTTGGAGCTCTTTGGTTGAGGGTTATCTCTCATTACTCCAATAATGTCATCTTGTATTATTGATATTATCATGTTTGGTTGTCAAGTAATATAAGATTCCAATAATTTTTCAAAACCAATAGTAATCACTATTGATTATATAGATAATAATTTGAATACCACTATTTTCTTAGGTATTCTAAGATTACTTGATAATATAATTTTTGTTACAATTTTACCCTTTATTAATAAAATTTTAGAACAATAATTCTCTTCTTATCTAAATAATTTACAAGAATTTTCATGGACAATTTTAGACTTATACAGAAAAATATTAAGATAATTTATACCCTTCCACTTCCACCAAATTACCCAATACGACAATCAGCCACTGGCCACCGCAGTCGCCACAAGCCACCACAGCCGCCACTGGTGTTTGTTGCCAGAGCAATACATGATCGGCCAGATCTGGTCAACCGTGCGCCAATCTGGTTGTTAATGGTCATAGATTTGGCCATTAATGGCCATGGATTTGGCTGGAAAAGGCCAGATCCATGGCCAGAATAGATCTGGCCGTTTTTGGCAATTAATTTGGCCAGAAACTGCTAGATCAGCACACGACCGACCATATCAGACCGGTCCTACGCTATTCAGGCCACGGCTGGCAGTGGTGGCTGGCGGCTAGCAATGGCTTGGGTGGGTAGGGTTATTTTGTTACAATTTAAACTTTTATTGTGACTAGGGTGTTTTAGCAAAATCTCAAATGTAAGGGGTTAAAAAAATAATCCAAATAATAATAATAATATTAATATTAATATTAATAATATATAAAATGTAGGGGGTTAAAAAAATCATTCAAATAATAATAATGTGGGGGTGTTTTTGTTATAATTTAAACTTTTATTGTGGCTAGAGTGTTTTAGCAAAATCTCAAATATAGGGGGTTAAAAAAATAATCCAAACAACAACAACAACAATAATAATTATATTTAAAAAGAAGGGCAATCTAGCAATCTATACAACATACCCACCCATTTATTCCTCTCAATTAAACGTATCAATATAACATACCCATCATTTTATTTTAATCTAACCAAACACATTTAATATAACATTCTCAATAATCTTCAAGATAATTCATCTTCCCATTAATATAACATTTTTAAATAATACAATATTCCCTAAATCAAATGCACACTCTAAGTGATATCCCCTTACAAAATATTAGGGGCGTAGATAAAAATTCCTAAACTATGCAAGTCTTTTATAATTTTCTAAAGCCTTGGGTACTTCTTAAAACCCATAATAGAGACCCAAAGCCCTTAAACCTTGCGTGAGCTTGGGGCTTCCTCTTCAACTTCACCTTCACATTTTGCTCTTTGATTCTCCAAAATTGTTAAAGCAAATGAAGCTTGTACGCTTGCGTACAATTCTTGAAAACGTCAACTTTCAACTCCGTTGTCAAAACTTTTGGAGTATTTATTCACACTCGTCAGCTATAGGAAACCTAAGACCGAAGCGAAGACACCGAATTTCAAACTCAATGAACGCTCTATTCCTTCGGATCTCTCAACACTCTATTGCTCCAATGCTGGACCAATGGGTCCAAGAAGGAGGAATTGTAGACCAATTACAGCTCCGAGACTTCATTAAACGATTGCAGTTCTTTAAATGATATGGTCACACTCTCTAGGTATTAATAAATAAAATATAATTTCTATTTTTATATTTTTTAACATTTCAATTTATATATGTATTTTTTGAAAATACTTAGCTTAAGAAATAGCCTTGAAGTTCATTAGAGAAATTGAATGGAGTTTTAAGAATTATCGGGATTCTCTGGTTTATGTTTTTCTGCATTAGCTCAATCCGCTAGTAATTTGAGAAAAAAGAAACAAAATAAAAAATTTGACTAAAACAGATAATTGGATTCGCAAGTTGTAGTTGCCATACTAGTCAATGCCAGTGATATGGCCACTCGGCTGGATTTGATCCATAAAGTTGAAGGGATAGAGCAAGCAGAAAATTACTTTAATAACATTCCAATTCAGTTAGGGGGCCATGAGGTTTATTCCACTCTTCTCAACTGCTATTTGAATGAAAAATCTTTGGAGAAAGCAGAGGCTACCATGCAGAAAATGCGGGATTTGGGGTTGGCTAAATATGCTCTGGTTTACAATACTTTGCTCAAGCTTTATTATCAAAATGAAAATTACGAGAAACTTGACAGTTTGATGCATGAAACGGAAGAAAAAGGCATTGGTTGTGACAAAGTTATATTCAGCATCCGTCTTAGTGCCTATGCAGCAACTTCTGATGTTAGGATATTTGAAAAAGTGTTTTAAGTTCAGTTGAGTTGAATAAAATTAAATAAGATTTGAATTTGAAAATATAATTGGTAAAATATTTGAAAACTATGTTAGAGTTAGATAAATTGTTGAATAGTCGTTGGGTATAATTTTTGGAAAATGATTTTAAGATAGAATATGTGTTTGGTGCATTTTATTAAATATTTTATTATTTGATTATGAAACTTTTTTATTTTAATTTAAATAATTGTTTGGTAATTTTTTTATCACTATGTTTAAAAAAAATTCTCCATAATAATTTCAACTACTAATACATCATTTAACAACTAGGAATTTTGTACATTACAATATCATAAATTCATAATACATTGATATATATCTAAATTAATAATAGGAAGCTACTAGTAATCACTCATAAATAATCTTCGAACATCTATATTCCATTAACAATTAGGACAGGGATACATGTTGGAACCACATATCAGTAGTTATGTTATCCCTCAGAGTTGTCATGTTGTATGTATTACGTTGATATGATTGATTTGATCCCTCCCCATTGCCTTCATTTTCTTACTCATTTTCCATATCAAAATATTCATCCTCATAAACTCCATCTTCATTAATTTCTTTGAAGATAAGGTCTTGCATATTGAACATCCTGATAAAATTATGAATTATACAACATGCCATAACAATTTTAGTTTGTCTCTTCAATAAGTAATTGTTCATGCCTTCAAGAATACGAAACCTATTTTTCAAAACACCAAAGGTTCTCTCTATAACATTTCGAAGAGATGCATGTCTATAATTAAAAAATTGAAAGGGTCCATTCTGGTTACGACGTTGATCGGCAACATGGTAAAGGAACCCGTCTATGCAGGGCAAGGGACCCACCTCTATTCGCATAACCGGCATCAACTTAGTATTTACCTATAACAAAATATTGAATATTATTTGCTCAATGGCTAAAAAAAATGTTTATAGTACGCTAAAATACGTAAAGAAATTAGTTATACCGGGTGGAAAACTAGAAATAGGATTATCTAGAAATGAATTTAAAATTCTAGAGTCATAGACAAATCCTTCCCACCGACGATGACATAAGTGAACAACATCTTGAAATCGTATACAGTCATCACATTCTGTGACGATATTTCTTTGTGGTTAAGATACAACTTAGCTAACTCAGTAGGTGCCCAAGCATGTACATGTGTGTACCATTAATAGCTCCAATACAATTCTGTTGACAAAATTAAATTTTAATAATATAAGAAGACTAATAAATTATATAAAACAATGAATATAACTACCAACAAATTAAAGATAATAATGAAGTACCTTAAAGAAAGGGTAATAATTTGGGTTGGTCGATATCTTCGATGGAATATCATTGGAGTCAGGTGGCTTGATAAACATTGATTCATAGACTGCATCACAAACTCTTCCAAAATGTCTAGAGATTGTCTCACCAAAATGTTGGTAATCCTCCAAACAAAATCTATTTGTTGCATTTTTCCTCACTATTGTCAAAAATATCATAACTTGCTCTTGAATACTCATGCTCTTGGTTCTTTGCAATTGGCCTTGTTGTGCCAATATATTACCTAAGGTCTCAAAACATGGTTTGTACATGCAACACTTATCATACAATCTTGAAGGATGACCATTTAATAGCTCCAACATATAATCATGACCATTTAATGAAGATATATGCCTACGTCGACATCCTTGCCTGTTGAACTCCGTTTCTAACGCAACAATCACACACAATGTGGTTGCAACATCTTCATATACTTCTTCACGTTAATTATTTCACTTACAATTAGTACATCTAGACGACGACATCTATACCTATCCAATCGTGACAATTTGTTCATCAATTCATACTTTTTGTAGTACTTAGCAAAATATAACATTCAATTTTTAAATCTACTTACAATCTTCAACATGTATTTACAATCTTCAACATATATGAAACATGTTATTTCACATTGCACAACAACTCGTTTTTCATCGATTCTTATAATACCAAAGTAAATGAAGTCTTTAATATGAAGGTAGTGAAAAAAAGACAATTGTCAAAGAGGTAGTATCAACTAACAAGTAGAAAACATTGGTTCGATTGGTAAGACAAACACTCTTATCTACAAATTGCCAAAGTCATTATTAACCCAATATGCCCTTTGCTCGGGTGGCAGGTGTACAAATATCTCACGCCACTCTGGCTTGTCAACTAAGAACTTCACAACTGTCATGAATATCTTTGAATCCAGTTGCATATTTGTCAAAAGGTCGATACATTTTGGCATGGAATTTTGATATATTCTTTCCCTTGTGTTCTCTTGGGCCCCATCATCTTTACTACGATATGCTGCCTTAGAGCATCTCCAAAAAACTCTTTATATGACCCAAACTCTTTATTATAAAGAATTCATCCATAAAAATAAGAGTTCAACATACTCTTTATCTTTAAAATATAAATTAGAGAGTCAATTTGGCTCTCCACATTTAGAGAGTCAAATTTCACTCTCTATTCTAATTTTATTTAATAAACTACAAGTTCATATACATTTTATTTATTAATTCTCTCTCCCATTAAGTCACTTTCTTAAAAATAAAGAGCATCTTCATTAAATTTAAAGAGTCTATTGGATCTAAATAGAAATTGTGTTCTTTATATTTAAAAATTAATGAAGATGCTCTTTGTTTATATAAAAAATGCTCTTTAAAAATAAAGAGCACTATTGGAGATGTTCTTAGATGTCATAGTAATCTCAATAATAGCGTCCAACAGTTTACCAATCACACCCAAAAGTGGGTTTCGCCGAACGCATCTCTTCTTCCTATCTATGGAACTTCCCAACCCAGACATGTTTAATCTTTTTTCCCCAGTTGTTCTATTCGAATCAGTTTCCAACTCATCTTCATCAATGTCCACCTCTATAGTGTCGAGCAAAAAAAAAGGTAGAGTTCGTTGGTTGAGATGCAAATGTGTAAGCGAATCTTCTAGTTGCATTTTGCTTGTCGAATATAACTTCATATAACTCTTTATCAACAAGTCCCTTATATAAGAAGTCCTTTGCCCCCAGGTTTTGCTATTAATAAAAACAAACTTCATATAACTCTTTATCAACAAGTCCCTTATATAAGAAGTCCTTTGCCCCCAGGTTTTGCTATTAATAAAAACAAACATACATTAAATTTCATATTCCCCCAAAAAAGTTCATACCAATTATTGTGTAATAAAAAAAAATAAAAATATGCAATTTACCTATAAATATTCTTGCCAAATCTCTTTAGGACATGTTGGAGTTTGAGACTCATGATCCCAACCGAACCCCGTATGTTGAAGTAGAGCACACACAGAATTATATGCTGATTTCAAGCAAAAATACTTAGAAGATAGCTGTTTGACTTCAATTTTCTTCCCAAATTTTACCCATAACTTATCACTAATAATCTTGTAATCAGAAGATTTAATTGAAGAACCATGTGTTGTTTGCGCATGCTCAAGCAACAGAACTAGAAAGTCATGGGTGATTAGAGGATCCCAATGAATGACCTCACTCATCTAATAATAGTAGGATGAAAACAACAATCAAGATTGAAATATCATAAAAATCAACACACATATCAATACGAACATATGAAAATTAATACCTTAGAAACTTAACAGAGAGATTATTACCTCATTTGACCCAACACTACTTGAAGCGGTAAGTACAGGGGATACTAGAGGTGGAATAGCAACCCGCCCGACCCCACTCGCGACGGGTTGCGCAAAGTGGTGGGTCGGTCCTGACCCGCCCGCCAACATTGGCAAGCCGGGTCAGACCCGCCAATGTTAGGGAATTGGCTGGCGCAACCCGGACCGCTACCCTAACCCACCGGGTTAGGTCGTGGGTTGGGTCGAGTTTAGAGGTGGAACAAATGGGCCGGGTTAGGCGGGCCAATTCTAACCCGACCCGCAATGAAGAGGGTTAAATCCGAACTGCCATATTGGCGATCCGGGTTGAACCAAACCTGGCAGCAACCCCCGGGCGGGCCGGGTTGCAAAATGGCCCTAAATTCTTTTAAGAGAGACCGCCAACCCACCGGGTTGGCTGTTGTCAACTCGACGGGTTGACTGTTATACAATAACGGTCAACCCATCGGGTTGACCCACAGGTTGGCAAAAAAAAAATAAATAAAAATTTTAATTTGTTTTTTCAAATTACCCATTTACCCTTGAAATACAACCGTTTTATAACCGTTGGAGGAGTTTTTTTCGTCATTTTCCTTTCCCATTTTTTTCTATAAATTGGCCCTAAACTCTCACAACTCAAATTCTCTAATCTCTTTGTTATCAATTTGCTCATATTTTAATTTTTATTAGTTTTTGTAATTTTTAATTCATATTTCTAATTTTCCAAATTCCATATTCCAATTTTCTTTCTTCTACATCAATTTTTTTTTTCAACTACAAATGGATAGATATTTCTCTCCCATCAATTACAATGATAAAGGAAACTATTATCCTAGTCCTAGTCCTAGTTCCGCTGATTTTACTAACATAAATGCAAGAGAAGATTCAAATAGTCCGGCTTTCCCATTCTCAGAATCCGATACACCTTAAAATAGCCCCCAATTCCAACAGCTCCCGGTGGTTCTAAAAGTCGTCCTCGTAATCGTCGTGCTCGTCCAGCTTCATTTCAAGCTGAGGCGAGATCATCAACTGCTGTCGAAATCGAAGACAGACACACATCAGACGTTTGGACGCATTTCAACAAGTTTTACGAGACAGAAAATGACGTTCAAGTCAAGAAAGCGAGATGCAAATACTGTGGAAATATTTATAAAGCTGATTCAAGTAATGGTACTAGTACTTTAAAAAAGTATGCTAATAAACATATTAATCAACATGGAAATAGAGAAAGCAATCAAACTCAAATAACTAATATAGGTACTACTTGGCGTTATAATTCTGATGTATATAGGAAACAGTTAGCTTTATATATTGCTGTAACTAATCTACCTATTAATATGGCTGAAGATAA